TGTGTCAGGCTGGGGAAGCTGTGGATTTGCTCCTGTGTAGCATCTAACAGCATGCCCAAGACCTTCTGGTGCATGTGGATGGTTGAACCTGGGCACATCCCCTTGCCCTTCCTTCCCTTCCTTTTCTCTGCCTCCCCTGCTGCCTTGGAGCCAAGGTGGCAAAGGAGCAGGGGTGTCCCAGACATCTTTTCATTAAAAATCTTTCCTTAGGATTTTTCTTTCTGAGAAGCTGAGAGGCCAGAGAAACAAAATGTAAACAATGGTTATCTGCTGCTGTGGAATGCAACAGGTGGATCTTTGATTGGTTTTATGTGGATGTTTGGAATTAACGGCCAATCACAGTCAGTTGGCTCAGACTCTGTCCAAAACACAAGGCTTTGTTATCATTCATTCTTTTCTATTCTTACCTTAGCTGGCCTTCTGATGAGAACTTTTTCTTCTATTCTTTTAGTATAGTTTTAATGTAATATATATATCATAAAATAATAAATCAAGCCTTCTGAAATATGGAGTCAACATCCTTGTCTCTTCCCTCACCTGAAAACCCCTGTGAACACCATCACACAGGGGCACAACTGAGGAAACATTTCAGTGCTGGAAATCTATCATCTATGCAGGTAGCACAGCTTTTCTCTTTTACCTCAGCCCCTCTCAGAGGATGCAGAGAATGTGCCCAGGATTTACAAGGCTGGTGCTGAATGCAGCCAGCATCACTGCCTGCTGCATTTTTCCACCTCGGTGCACCAGTATGCTGCTTAATAGACTTCTGGCATAATGTGCAACAGTACCCAGCTCTGCACCTCAGAGCTAAAAATGAGGAGACAGGAAGAGATGAACAGCATAGCTGTTTTTCATGCTGCACGAAGGGAAATTACACAGGAAGTAAGTCACCTCCTGAAGAGACTAGACACGAGAGGAGTTATCTTTCTCTGTTAAATTAAAAAGAATGATTAAATGCCAGATAGTTCAAGCACCTTGGGCAGATACTGCACAAGCACTTTTCTTGCTAAGAAAGCAACCACCTAAGTTACTGGCTGACTTTAAAACAACTGAGAAGCTGTACTTGTAAAAAATCACTATTGCTAATTTACCTTCTGGCAGGTGTAGGAACCAGATTTAGCTCTGAGCAGCCCTTCATGCAGTACTGCAATACTGCAGCTGTAAGGAGTACCTGGACATGTGAGGAGGACATGGTGTCTGGGCTGCTCCATGCTTGACTGCTGAACTTGAATGGCCCTCACAAAAGCTTCACATATTGAGCAGAGAACTGTGAAACCCAGCCCCAGCTGAGTGCATGGTCTGCTGTCTCCTTTGGCTTTGCTAAGGCATGCAACACTGGGTTCACATAAACTGACTGGAGCTGGGGAGTCTGGAGCAAGGTATCCTGGAATCTCCTATCACATCCAGCATCTCTTTGGCATTTCTTGTTAGCTAGGTCAATACACCTGCCAGAGGAAATCCTTTTCTCCTGCTGTCTCAACACTAACCCTGTTCTGTCTCAGTCACAGCAGGTGAACTAAACCAGAATGGTCCCTCCAAGGTGTCAGAGGGTTTTCAGCACAGACCACATAGCAAAAATCTCCGTATCAAATCTTGCACCCAAGGAAAGATTTTCTTTTTTTCATCTTTCTATTTTTGTCCCTTTTACCTTTCACCACATTAGTCATACTTAAAGGAAAAGTGCAGTTCATTTTGAAGAGTGTCCTGTCCCAGTCTGCATGAAAACCTTTCCATTCATCTCAGCACATGTTGGCAAGTTGTGAACCTGACTGCTAAAGGACAGACCCACAGGGAAAAGGATTCATCCCATCTTTAAGCTCTCTGATTCTGGGATTTAGCAATTTTCTTCTACTGAAGATTTGCCTCCACCAAGAAATATGTGTAGCTGGGGTTTAATTGGAACTGATCTGTACAAAAACTTCCCCTAAAACCCTAGTTTCCTCATAAAGAGGAAAGAATTACTACAGCTGAGTAAAATTGTCTGCACAGAGACCTGGCACAGTATTGCTACCCCACATTTGCCATTTCATGTGATCAAGACTTAGGTAACACCTACAGGCCTTTCAGCTCCCCAAGCAGTAGGAAAATTACAGGAACTTCCTCGGAGTCTCCTGCTCTTTCAGACTCCCAGCATTAACAAAACAGTCTCTGAGTCAGTGGAATTGTAGTAAAAGTAAAGTAGTGGGGTGTGAACTTCTTTCTCTGGTGTCCCAGGCTGGAGAGAGAAGCAGAAAAACTTTGTTATTCAGATCAGCTGCTTGTCCTGGGTTGCTGCTCTGACTGCAGTCTGAGGGCAGTAGGGGAGGGAGAACAGCACAAGCCATCATTTGCACCTCACTTCAAAAGCTGACCAAGCCAAAGGAGCCTCTTTCTCCCCCACTCTTATAAATGATAGTGATAACTTTTATGGGATGGGATAGGAAGGGATCAAACTGTTGTTATTATACCTTGCTCCTTTGAAATATATACTTCTAGCCGCCCATATATACTTGGCTACTCAGGTCCTAACAACATGATGGGCTATCTATAGCCCTTTTAAAAAATCATCTTTGAAGGATGAGTGGGACAGAAAGCCCCCATATCTTTTAGAGACCAGCCCTAAAAGCAGATTCCTTCTAAATCCATCTATTCCAGTTAATAGGGCTTGGCACAGCCACTATGTCTACTATTCCAGACCTTAAAAGATAATTTATAACAGAACTTTGAATGTTTCCTGGCTCAATGCATTTTTTAATATACTGGATCATTTGCATTAGTGTCTCTGTTCACCTTATATTTCATGAGTAAGTAAATTGTGAAAGGTTAACCTCTTCTATAAAAAAATAGGACTTTATGTGGAAGTCAATATTGGCACAGTCTGGAGAAGAACTCTGTCTCAGCTGTCAGGATAAATGTTTTGTCTGGTCTTCACTGCAATTCTTTTAGTTTTTACTCAGTCTTTCTTTCCTTTTACTTTTTTGTTTTTTTCCCTTAATGCTAAAAAAGGAAATTTAATAAACTAACATTAGCATCAACCTCTCTAAATTGCCAAGTCATACTCTGGCTCGCTTTCCCCCCATGCTGTGCACCATGGTGAACATTTATGCTTACACCACGTCCCTTCCTGAGTAATTTATAGCATTTAAAAGCTTAGCTGATCCTGTGGGCTGCTGGTTCCTTGGTGCCTAAGTGGACTCTTGGCTCTGAGGCAGCAGCTCCAGGTCTAGCAGAGCCCCCCCAGTGTTTGATTGCTCCCCTCCTCATCCAAGGACATAACTAGCAGCATGAAAAATTCTCCCCAGACTGGTGCACACAATTAACTGAATTACTTCAACAGGGTGCAGATAGGATGGGTTTAAAGTGGAACCTGTTACTGTGCCAGTGGCTGGATGAGGATCCTGCTGTGCCATCACAGGGAAGGAAAATCCTTCCCTGCCAGCTCTCGGTGAAGGAGTTCTTGCTGTGACAGCAGATTCAGCTCACACGCTTGATATAATGCCCTCAATTACCATATCTCTGTAATTATCATCCCTGTCTGATAAGTCTTGTGGAAACTATCAGATCTTGAGCAGAGGATCTAGGAGACTTGTAAGAATATAATGTCTAGAATTGATCTGTCTGTTTAATGTTTCATCACTCTGCCACCGATTGATCATTCTTTGAATAAAATGATAGCATAGCTGTATGCCAACACTTGTGATTCATTTTCACTTAGCTAATCAAAATGTTGTTTCACAAGACCCTGATGATGTTTAGGATGCCTTTTAGGAGGTATTACCTTACACCAAGCTGGCTGACTCAGATGGTCTTTTTCTTACACTGTTACTAGACCAAGCCCCATGATTTAGGAGGCATGCTTTCCTCTAGCAAGTTCCTACAAGGGTGCAGAACAGTTTGATTTAAAAGTTTACCAGCTAGAGAGAAATCATAGTAAATATTATATTTATTTTTTTTTTAGAGTTGAAGGAACTGCAACATCCCCACATATCCTGGATCAATAACTGAACATTTTCTATTTTTACATGAAACTTAAGGATTATCTGAAGATTTCTGCCAGGTCTGTACAGATCACCCATTCATCTTTAGCTGGACAAGCCAAGCATCTGTTTTCAGTCCATCTCATGCTGAAACCGTAATGCTAAAATTCAGAAACTGACCTGTTTTTAGGAGGGCTTCTTTTAGCAACAGGAAAAAATGCAAAGAAAACTTCTTGCTGCTTCTTTAGTCATGAACTCTGTTCATGTTTGTAGCTGAGCTTTGAAAGCCTGCACCCACCAGCCAGGGAAGTGTCTCTTACTTTTTTTATGAATGCTAGTTGTTCTTTTTACTGCTGTAATCCTGATGAGTTAAGCAGTGTAATGCAGTTTGATGTTTGCTGTAGCAATGGAGGGGTGAGTAAAAATCACCTCTAGGAAGAATGAAGCACTGAAGTAGAACGAAGCAGTGAGTCAGGATACTCTAAAGTAGTTAAGAGACTGTGGTTTTCAGACTACAATTGTAGGCAAGTATTGCATAGGCCTTGGGGACACAGGTGAATTTTACCCAGAAAACAAAGCCTTTTCCCACAGGTTCATGTCTGGTATAATTATGTTCTAAACTTCTGCCTTTTTTTTTTCTTTTTTAATATTCTGTGAGCCTCAGTAGCAGCAGAAGTAGAAAAATTGCTCTGTAGCACTGAACACGCTCTGCCTACAGCAAAGACAAAGTTCATAAAGGACACAGAAAGCACAGAGCCCCTGTTAACCTTCTGAGAAGGAAGGTGTGTTTGTGTGTGCCAAGAAAGCAATCTTTTTTTGCCTTAGGTCTTTGTACAGTCTCCTATGATTTCCTTCTAAAGAGAGAAGACACCACTGTAGTCATTTTGTAACTATCACCAGCTTTAAAAAGACTGTGGGAGCATCTGGAGGGGCCAGAGTTGTGATTCATCATGTCAGCCACCACCTTGCCCATTATTTTTTAAGAATTGAGTTAAACAGCCTCTCCGACACTGACAGCTTGGATAGAAGCCTAGCTCCATGGCCGGTGGCTGGAACAGCCACTGGACAACATCCTGCAGAGTGATCAATAATCCATATCAGCTTTTTGGGGTTTGGTTTGGGGTTTATTTTTGTGTGCCTTGTTTCTCAGGTTTGTTTGCTTTGGTGGGTTTTTTTTTTTGTTTGGTTTTGGATTCACCTGTATTTTCAAGTGTGATTTCAACTATTTAATGCCTCTTTCACAGACCACTATGTCAGACTTCCAACCCCTTTCCTTTGCTTTCTGCAGCATTGATGGCCCTTTGAGTTAGTGATGGTTGTGCAATTCCAGATGAGAACTCCCAGTGCTCACGTGGCTCCACTTCTTCCTGATTAAGCAGAACAAGTGAGCACCTGATTGACTTTTACTATAAATGCTGACATTCTGCAGCCAAAGGGGAGGGGTTGGGGGGAGAGAACGCTTTTGATAGTGTTTAAAGCACACAGGCCATTTTCAGCAAGGATTTCCATTTCAAGAGATTTGTTAGTGTAGTCTTGGATTAGTCTATGCATCGAAAGCTTTACTTAGGAAGATTTTCATCCTTTGAGGCACACACATACCAAAGCTCTTTGTTGTTTTGAATCCATGATTATGTGCTGAATAATGAATATTTTTAAAAGCCTTGTGCAGCCACACTGTGATACCTTGACAATTTCAGCCAATCTGACTCTATTTTTCTTTTTTTTTTTTTTGACATTTGCTAACATAAAACTTTTGTGCAAAGACTTTTAGCAATTTAAAAGTTCTTCAGTGCCAGGCAACTGAATTGCTGAGATGCTGATTTAAAAAAAATGAAAGGTATCTAATGTTGATTTTGTTTCAGAACAAGCTGACTAGCTGCAATTGAGGTTAATTGACCTTTATAATGGATACACAGGACAATGCTAAAGCTGTACACATAAACTGCAAGTTTATTTGATAGCAAATTGTGTTAATTGACATTCATTGTGCATCTTTCTGTTGTTTATTGCTAGTTGCTCATGTGAATAGTTTGTTGATATTATAGATAGGACAAACATTTGTTTCAGATAAATAGGATTTTCAGTTGAATAGGTTTTAATTAAATGATCTCCCGTATTCAATTTTGAAACTATGAAGTACTGTATAGTATGTACCTAAACCTCTTATCTAGGATCTTACATTACTGAATCATGTCTCACACAAATTTGTTTATTTTTTGTCAAATAACACCTAATTTTTCTGCCAGTTGGGCAAGATTTAGGTATTTTACTACAGGAAACAACAAAATTAGTGTTGGAGAGACTGAATTTATGCAAGGACTATAGGTGACTGGTGTGCATATGCTCATGCCCAGCTCCTGTTTTACTGGACAGCCATTGTTTTCCGTTCACCTCACTAAACAGCTGTAGGGCTGACCCATGTAGCTACAGCCTTTGTGCTTTTCACAACACACAAAGTTTCTCATACCTTAGCTATGTGTTAAATATATCTACAAATTCAGTCCAAACCAGTCAATTTTCCCCTTTTTTTTCCTAAAAAAACGAACCTGTAGCTGACAGAGTCACTGGTCACACAGCCCTTCCACTGATGATAGCTTTCCCTCCATGCTGCAAGCAAAATGAAAGAGCAGCCCCTCCAAAGCATTTTCTAGGTCACAAAGGATCCTTTCCTTAACCAAGTTAAAATAAGAAAAGACTGCTATTACATTTTGGCTGAAAAGTGAAGCAGAAGTAAAACAGGTAGATGTCCTGTGGGCATGTACCTACAATTGAGTAGTGCACAGTTATTAGTTAGCTGTTATGATCTTTTAGCTCCTTCTGATACTTCAGCACTCTCTTTAAATATCCTCACAGCTCAAAACATCAATAAGGAAGTATTTGCTGTATATTTTTACCAAAGAGACATTGAAAGAGAAATAACTGTTCCTGAGTAAGTTACATTTTATTTTAATATGCTGGGGTAAATAATGATAGTCATTCACCTCTTATGCTGGAGATGAGAGCAAACTTGGGAGGCAAAGCAGTTAGGTAATAATGTACAGAGAGATTTCTTTACAAGAGTGCAAGTTCCTCAGGTTTGCTGTATTCATTTTTCTCTAAAGTGTTTTTTCCCCACATGACTAGCTTTCTATTTCCACTTCTTTTACATTTGCACTCTCTAAAGTCTAAGGTTATTGCCAACAGTATTTTGAGAAGTGCCTTCCCTGGAGGATTTTCTTTTTTTGATAGGCAGCAAGGGAATGCTCTCAAATATGATGGTGAACATTTTAGAGAGATTTGTGATATAATGGCAATCACAGGCATAAAGACCTTGTTCCTTTCCAAAGAAAAGTGGCAAAAGGCTGGGGCCTGATTTTCAGCTCTGGCTGAGCTGCAGGAGCAGTCCCTGAGAGCTGCACTGGGTGCTGGGTGTCAGAGCAAAGCATGTCAGTTGTGTCTGGATGAGCTGCTCCAGGAGATGGGAATAGAAGGAGACGGGAATAGCACAGGCTGCCTGTGCTGGTGGCAGAGGACACACTGCATGCAAACTCCACCCCAAATCACTGAGGAACCCTCAACAGTTTTATGTTTGTTCACATTCAGAGTATCTATAATGCACAGTTTGGTTCCTTCTGTATGAAAACTGAGGCTTGGGAATGATTCAGGTTGAAGCACTCCTATGCCTTCCCTCCCTCAGCCACATGGACATAACTGGTGGCCAAAAGAGGTCACCAGCTTGGCCACAGTCTGCCAAAATTCCCTGATGGCCCTGCACAGTCCTGACCTGTCTCCATGTCCTAATGCTGAGTTGCACAACATGGCTACACCTTTAGTGTTCCCCCCTAAAAACCTGTGCATGGCACACAGCACCAGAGGTCCTCCAGAGAAATATTCTGGATTAGCATGGGGAAAGGGCCTTGGGAGCTGAGGGCATGTGTGCTTTGCCCAGGAAACAGGCACTCTGTGGGACACTGGCCAAGCTTAAATTAAGCAGCCAAGGTATAGAAGCTGCTCAGGAGCACCTCTTGCCCTCCAGCCCTCTTATCCCTCGTTTCTGTATGACTCTTTGGCACTGACAGATTTTCTGTCCTCTTGCTGTCAGCAGACACTTCTCATGCCTAGAAGAGATTTCTGAGCATGTCAGACCTAATACTGCTGAGCCACAAAAAATAAAATGACCCTCTCAGACCCTCCAAGCCTATCATGGACCTCCTCCCATCTATGCCTGTCATCATTATAGTGCAGGGGTTCTACTTTCATTATATTGCAAGGGTACCATATTGCTAGAGTTCCATACCTCCTTGATGTTTCTTGCAGGCAGCTCCTCTGGCACTGACTCTCCCTTGTCCTCACAGCAGCCAACTGACTCCAGTTCCCACCAATTCACTCTTTTATAACACTCTGCTTATTGGCTACCGCTGTAGCCTGCTCCTAATCTTTAGTAATTGGTCCAGCTGCAGCTCTTTAGGGGATAAGATTACATTCTCTACCACCTTCATTTACCCATACTGTATCCCCCTACATATTTCCTCCTTCTAGAGAATACATATTTCCCTGAATACTGAGTTCATGTTCATTGCAATGACTGCTGTTCATGCAGACATGGTGGAACTCTGTAGATTCAACTGCTGTGTTTTCCTGAATTTATTGCTGTTCTCCAGCCCCTTTTGCCTATGTGCCTGTGGCAATTTGTTGACCTTTCCTAACCAGGAGAAAGTAGAAGCTTTGAAACCACTTTTGTTAGTTTTGCAGTGAACAGACCAGCCCTTCCTCTAGGATCAGTTAGTCATACAATCACAGAATTACAGAGCCATAGAATGCTTTGAAAAGAACCTTACAGATCATGTATTCCAGACCGCTACCATGGGCAGGGACACCTTTCAGAGGACGAGGTTCCTCAAAGATCCGTCCAGCCTGGCTTTAAACACTTCCAGGGATGGGGCATCCTCAACTTCTCTGAGCAATCTGTTCCAGTGCCTCACCACCCTCACTGCAAATAATTTTTTTCCTAATCTCTTATCTAAACCTGCTTTCTGTTAGTTTGAAGCCATTCCCCTTTGTCCTATCACTCCATCCTCTTGTCAAAAGTCCCTCTCCATCTTTCCTGTAGGCTCCCTTCAGGTGCTGGGCGGCCGCAATCAGATCACCCCAAAGCCTCTCAGCCTTTCCTCCCAGCAGAGCTGCTCCATCCCTCTGATCCCCTTGGTGCCTCCTCTGGACTGGCTCCAACAGGTCCTTCCTGCACTGGGAATCCCAAAACTGGATTCAGTTTAAGGGTTGTCAACCTGCAGCAAGTATTCCTGCCTGTGTCATTCCTGTGGCCAATCCTCAGGGAATCACAGGCAGATGAGGAGCTGCAGGCTGGTGGGTTTATCAGAGTACATACAAACTGAATGCTCCATACAGCCATATTATAGCCTGTTCCACGTTGTCAATTGTAGGCAAAAATGTGCTCCTTGCCTCCCAGGAACTGAGGATCAGGGACACAGATGAATATCTCATGCAGGAACCTTTAAACCAAAGGGATAAACTTGTGCCATCCTATGTCACCTATTGCTGGACCAGCAAACAGAGTGTCATTGCACAAAGCAGTTCCACACCATATGCAGCCAGCAGACAGAGCATGATGCAAATAATCCATTCAAAAGCTAACATAGCCCAAAACCTCATCTGTGAGCTGTGAAAAAGGCAGAGTGTTTGCCATTCTGTTACTAGACATGTTGAGACTGCTTCTCTCTGACTGACAAAAGGCTCAGGCATCTGTGACACTGTGACTCAGTGGCACGACTGCCATCAAAGCTGTCTCAGGACAGATACCAAGCTGCCACTGTGACCCAAGGACTGGGGCAGCCTGTGGCACATCATCCCTTACGTGCTGCCCACAGATGTGTGCGTGTTTGCGTGGGCAGAAAGAACTGTACTGGCCTTCACTTGATGGAAACACTGATTTCCAGGCAAGGGGCAGGATGTACTCATCCTGTGAACACTGTGACATCTACAAACTGGCCTGCCTGTTTCACAGCACCCATTTATTCCTTCAATATTGCCTTGTTATCTGTGCACCAGCCTTCTTTACAAATGGGTCTACCAGTGTGATGCAGCTCCATGGCAATGCCAGAAATTATTTCAATTGCCACGACGTGGGAGAAAGTGCTGTGGTACAAAGGGGCCCTTTATTTCACAGCTGATGACCTGTGCACATCACAGACCAGACACTCAGGGGTAGAATTGGTGAGCTATGGGAAGGAAAACTGAGTGGAAGGTGGGTGGAAAATTGGCTGGGCCAGCTGGCAGGGTTGTGTGAGTGCTGTGCAGTCCAGCTGGCAGCCTGCAGTTGGTTGAGTCCCTCAGAGATGAATCCTCTCCAGAATTTCCACAGAGCTGCCCAAATTCTTCCTTGCTCTCCTGTGCTCATGGGCACCTCAGCACAATGAAAGCAAGCCCTTCCTTCCTGGCAGCCCTTAGGCTGATGCACTCTGACTTTCAGAGGTGTTGCTACAGATTCTGGAGAGCAGGATGCTGCCCCCAGGGATCTGCAGCCTAGTCCACATGGATCATGCATGGCCAGGCACTCAGCTCCTCTTTTTGATGGCAGAGCAGCCCTCCTCTAATGTGATGCCAGCTGTGGATGGCAGTCACAGGGGCTGAGCACAGGGCAGCACTGGCAAACACTGCTAACTTTGACCAGAGATGGGTCTGCTTTGGGAAGGAGGAGGCCTGCCACCACCTGAATTTTTGTGGGGGTCACCTGTGACAGTGGTCACAGGGGTCTTAGGATGAGGGAAGAGACGTAGATCTGATTCTACGTTACTGAAGGCTTGATTTATTATTTTATGATATATATTACATTAAAACTACACTAAAAGAATAGAAGGAAAAGTTTCATCTCAGAAGGCTAGCTAAGCTAAGACTAGAAAAGAAGGGATGATAACAAAGGCAGCTGTTTCTGTCCGAGTTAGCTCTGCTGTGATTGGCCATTAATTACAAACAAGCAGATGAGACCAGTCACAGATGCACCTGTTGCATTCCACAGCAGCAGATAACCATTGTTTACATTTTGTTCCTGAAGCTTCTCAGGAAGAAAAAGTCTTAAAGAAAGGATTTTCATAAAAAGATGTCTGCGACAGTCACCCAAGTCTTTCTGAGCTGTGGCTTTCTGCTGTGGGCAGCAGCAGCAGCAGCAGCAGCACATGTGTCAGTAGCCAGCCCTGGGGGAGTGCTGCACCTGCAGCATAGCCTGTGCAGCCAGGAAATCCCCATGACTAAAGGCTGCAAGGGCTGCCCCTCATCAGCTCTGCCTCTGCTATTGCTGACTGGTTTTGCATCTCTTTGTAACTGCAGGGAGCAGTTTCCAAATAAGTGACTTGCAAATGTCTTAGTTCTCCTTAAATGTAGAGGCAGGTGAATAAAAATAAAATGAAAAGGGACGTGACACTCTTGAGCAAGTGACAGAGAGGAACAAAACCTCTGTTGCTTTCTTCTCTTCCCTATCTCAGGGACATTTTAAGAATTGCTTGAAAGTCACTTAGGTCTCCACCAGACTTTTTCCAAGAACTCCTAGAACAACCTTTTATCCAGATTACCCAGCACTTAAACCACTTGGAGAAATGCTTTTGCCATTCCAAACATTTTAATCCTTGATCAGTGTGATTAATGAGACTACTGAGAGAGGAAAGCAAGTCGTGTCTGCTGCTTATAGAAAACACAATTTTTTTGCTTTGTGGTTCAAAATTTCCTCATTCTTTTTCTCGGAACAGTGTGAGAGAGCGGAAGTGTCTCAGTTTGAGATCTAATCTGCTCTGCCTTCTCAGGAAGCTACAAAAGTCTCAAACAAGCTTTCAGTTGATATCTTTTTCTAAATAAGAGGCCCTTTGGACAAAGCCTTGCTGGTTGGAGATCAGACCAGTTACAACTCATGCCCTTAGTTCCCAATACTTTACCTTACACCTGTATCCCCTTGCCATCAGCCCAATAGGCAGAGTTTAATTCCTGTGAAGTACAGCAGCTGTTGTGTATTTTTCTCTGCTGAAAGCTTTGCCTTTCTCTGTGCAACTGTTTAGGGAGGCCTTATTTTCATTTGCAAACCTGCGCAAATTAACATTTGTCAGAGTGTTTATATCAGGGCACAGCTCTGGTCTCTGTGGCTGTCAGTTCTTGACCCAGCAAACTAAACTGCTTCTTGACAGTCACAACCATATTTAAGCTCACCACAACATCCTTTTATAGGTTCAGCAATTTTGCAGATGTCTTCAGAACCTGAGGACTAAGTGCAATCTGCCACAAAAGCCACAAGCTAAGCTCCTCTGAGAGAAATTCAAGCTGAACTTAGTCCTTCTCTAGGATGAGGAGATGATAGAAGCCAATTATTTCAGAAGTTAAGTCATATTAAGTAATGTCAATACTGCATGTCATGATGCACTACTGGCTGGAAAAGCATTAAGAAACAAATACAGCTGCTTGATACAAGCTCTCACATTCTGCATCCCACCAAGGGTTCTGCATCCCCACCACACCTGGCAGTATGGGATTATTGCTGCTAAATGATAACCTTTGTTGCTGGTATCAAAAGTATGTTAAAACCAGAAACAAATCATAGTTCCTCCCTTAATTTTTTTTAATTTTTTTTTCCCTAAACAGTGTTTATTTACTCCAAATCTTTGAAATCCTCTTAATGCAATTTTCTAAAATGGCAATTTTATACTACAGCCTTCAAAGCAGCCTTGTGTGTTAGGAGTCTGACAGCAGCAGACTTTTGAGAAGTCATGAAAAGTACAGAAAACACTTGCATTGGGGAAAAGAAAAAGAAAGGGAGAAAAAGCCTTCCATTTATTTATAGCTTCTTCAGAAATACTCTTTTGGGGGTGGAACTTTTGTGTTTCATCTCTTCTGAAGGTGATTTTCTTTCAAGCTGTCAGCAATATGTGGAAGCTCTTTAACATAAATGCAAAATTCCTTAAATTATGAAAATTTTGTGACTAATGACAGAGCAAAAAGTCCCCCTATTGACTCGATAAACAGATTCTCATGCATGCTGAAAATGCTCAGTGGAATTACTATTTACTGTGTTAGTCTTAGAAAAGAGCAGTCTTTGAAATGTAATGACCACATTAAAAATCAAGTATTTTGAAAGGGCTTAAACACATGATTCTGTTTATTATGGAAGGAAGTACTCTAAAAGAAGACAGGCAGTTAAAAAAGTGTATTCCAGTGTGAAATATACTGGGAAAAAACAATAAAATCTCATATGAAAGACAGGTACAATAACCATAGCTTCCAAGTTCTGTATACAAACACATACTCTATTAACAAACTTCACACCACACACAAAAGGCAACACCTTCACAAAACATTAT